CGTTCGCGCACATATTTCCTTTCCTACTTATACAGACAGGACGGTCTACGAATATTTAAATATTTTCATTGGTGTAGTTAAAAATGTATTTTTTGTATACCTATTATGTAATATTATTCGATTATTTTAGATTTTGTCATTTGTTTATATTTTTTTAAATTCTTTACTACAATGGTTTACCTTGGAAGTGATTACCCGTTTGTTCCAAGCAATTTAATTGGTCCATCTCGTTATTCTAATACTTGTTTTATACATTTTCCATGTACTCATGTTACGCTTATTTTCGGTGATAATTATTAACATTCATTTTAATTAAATTAAATTTAAGCTCGGTTTCTGATTGAATGTTTCAAATAACATCAATAACTCGATTAAATCCGTTATTATTGGCGAAACCTTTGTATTTTTATTTTGCGTGGTTATCAATAAATGTCTACAATATGTTATGCTCAAACGAGTGATGGTTCCTTCTATAATATATCATGCGCAAACTAGTTGTAGCCGTAAAACCGTGTACCTTTGATCTCGTCGCGTGTACGTAACTGTACTGTTTATCTTTGTTGTTTTTTTAAATGCTCGCTGAATGCGGGATCCGCTCGCGTTTACGTGTTACCGGAAAAGACCAATGTTACGTTATCGTGTGCCGATTGAGTTTCAAAAATCTATTAGTCGTTGTATATTCTTTGGACACCTGCATGGGTGGACCGAGTATAAACCTGCAAGGGTGGTCCTTGTATAATATCCTTGGGGCAAAGGTTTGCTGCGAATCGCTTTTTTGGTATTAATATTATTTCACCTGTTACAGAAAAACAAAAAATTGCCTTTGACCAGGACCCCGATATGCTGTTCAATAAAATCGCGTTCGAAGTAACGCAACTTAATAGTTTATCGATCAAGGCATGCATTTTTTTGACATACACTCTATTAATTTTCTATACCTGTAATTAATACAAATATCTAACGAAGATTTGAAATGCTATATTTTACATTGCATATTTTTTGGAATTTAACTTTTATAGTTTTTATTTTAATTTTTTTATTCACGTTAAATTTGATTAATTTTATATTTTTCGAAAATTTCGTAATTTCGTAAACTGAAAATGAAAGGAAAATGTTTTGTTTCTGGAGACAAAAAAAACAAATAAACCTTCAAATCGTATTAGTATTTTCTCACTTATTCATCAATTTATAATCATTTATATAACAAATATCCATACTTTTAAATTGTTAAAAAATACACCTGTACCTTTATCTTAATAAACCATAAGTATAGTTGCGTAAGCGTAAAACCGAGGGTGCTGATCTGCTCAGTACCACGTTCTTTTTAACGTCGTAGATTACCGTTAGTTCGGAAATTAAATTGAACAGGCGACGGGTAACATGGATTCCTCCCGAAATGGTTATTATGAATTTTGAATAGTATAATTTACGTACAAGATAACGCCTTGCCGCTATCTTCGGTTGAATTGCTGCCGCGCGTTGGGAAATATCACAACGCGTTGCCAATAATCGGCGTTTTAGGAGGCGATATTTCTTAAATTGAGTTGCCCGATGGTGTTGATTCGTGGCCAGGGCCGATGGAACAAGTTTTATCGTGCTCAGTTGGCTCTTTGCGACTCTTGTAAACACCTGTTCAATACACGCATGTTGCATTATTACGACAACACTGTAATGCCTTCATCTGCATCGCAAAGATTTTTCTCGACGGATACCCTATATTATTTCTATTCCTGGTTCGACCCTTGTCCCATTTTTTTCCTTTTCGACTTGAGATCGGAATGTTTATCATTTTTTGGTTTTACACGCATGTCCATAATACGCGATCCCTGATTCGGTGCTCGATATTTTACGTGTGTATCATTTTTTACAGTGTTGGCGATTCATTTGACTTGTAGGCAAAGCGTTTCCCGGCACGGTATTCGGACGCGTTGAACAATAATTAGCTTACAATAACGCTGCATGGTTTCCCGGACGAGCGATATACTGTTCTTTGCCGGAATAGTTACATCGTTTTTCCTGTACATTACACACACGTATTTGGTATTATTTAGTTTCTGTCTGATCGAGTAATGATTTATGATAATGAGTGATATACGTACTGCGTGTGCCACGGCGTTTACATATAAGCCATTTTTTCAACTTATGATTGCCGAGTCGTTATATGTTATGTACGTACCGAAGCTTAATGTAATGTACGTACGTACATACATGCAGCACAACACCTCCTACCCACCATTGCTTTGTTCAAACCCAGTGGTTATTGAACAATCAACGTTCAATGACGCTACATACCGTTTTCCTTTTGGTTTCCGTTCGAAATTGGATTTCATGTCGTGTAGGATTTTCACATGGCGCCACAAACGTGATCATAGTATAGAGAATTGTTACAATTAAACGAAAAACTGTCGGGAGGTTTTTGCAAATCTAATACTGCGATCGTCAGGCCTCGGTTACATTAGCGTCTGGTAGTATACGTTCTGGGGACACTTAAATTGTCTATAGTAAACGAACGAGAAAAACCTTTATATTGGAAAATTAACTATACGTAATAATTAATTTAATATTCAGTTAATATTTTAACTAAATTTAATACTAATTTTTTTTTTTTTTTTTAATTAATTAAACTGTGATCTATTTTATCTGCGAACTCGTAATCATTTAGTGTTAAAAGTAGTACACCAACATTTCACGGCATATAATATGATGTGTATCTCTATACTTAAGTCTAATCTCTAGACTTTAAATACTTTAAAAACAGTTGATTATCGATTCGATATTTGATGTGTACCAGCATTTTCTGAAAAACTCTTGTGCATGATTTGAAGTTTAAATGTTTACGATGTTTGAAAAAAATCTTTACTGAAAAACTATTATCAATAAAATATATGAATTATTTCTTAAACGTATTCATGAACTAACCTAAGAGTAGTATCTGTAAAGTAAATATCTTCGCCTTTCCAAAAAAAAAAAAAAAAAAAATGACCGTGATGTGTGTGTGTATTATTTATAAGTACATATATATATTCATATTTAATTACAGATGTCTTTCTTTCGTCAATAATTCAAAAGAATGAGTTTATTAGTTACGATACATCGCTACGCGCCTAGACGTTGAGCAAATTATAGTTTAATAGTTCTACTATATAAAATATAAACACATTGAAATACCTTCAAGTATTATATTCGTTGCAGAGACTGCACAAAAGAATGCAGTAAACATGTATTATTATGTTAAATAGGTACGCAGCGATAGTGCTTGTTCATTGTTTCGGAGTCGGTGACACTTTTCAAACAAGCTGCCATAGTGTTTGCGTCTCGCTATTGGATTAAAACGAGCGCGTACTTTTTTGGTGTATCCCGGAGAGTTATAATAAAAGCTTAAAATCGGTATTTTAACCGTGTGAAATTTTTTTTTTAAAAATATGTATAAAAAAAAAACCGAGTGTTTTTACGTTTCGTACGTTTACTTGATCTTACATTCATTGGGTTTTTTCCGTTTTACTCGGTGTACCGTAATTAATGTCCGCGGCCGGGGTGAGATGAAAGGGTCGTGTACACGACTTGAATAAAACTACACGAGAGTATGACGTCCTGGACCGGGCGTACCCGTTTACGTGTAATGTAGCACCGAGTATACCACAGCGACGGAATGTGTTCAACATTTACGCGTAATTACAAGTACGACTCGAACAACGGTTATGATTGGATGTACGACGAGAAGATTTAAGTGCACGACCCGTTATTATATTACGTGTTGTATTAAATATTTCGATTATGCTTGCCGTACAAACGTCGCACGTATACGCGTGACGTGGTACACCAGAGGTTGACAAGTAATTTCAAGTCCGAAACGACTACAACTATAGTTGAACGAGTTCTATGGAAAAATATGAATAATTTTAGTACCTAAATATCATTATAAATTACGGTAATTACGATCGCTACTTAAATTTAAAAAAATAAATACAAAATTAACTATCGGGTGTAACGTGATTAACACGAGTTTGATGAGTCGAATAAAATGTTAATTTTATAATTTTACATTCATCATATTTTTATAAAAATTATGTTCATCATAAAAAAAAAAAAAAAACTATTCATATTATACTATGGACAGCGATCATGCACCATCTTAGTCCTTCGTAGACACTTTGGTGTTTTTCCTTAGTTTTTTAGAATTTTCTCGCCGCTCGCCGAGAACTATTTCGCATTATAAAAGTGTTCCGAGTGCGCGTAGCTGTGACAAATGGCGCCCGGACGAATCGACATGTACACCGCGATGTGTGCGTATAACACGATAATTTTTTTATGGTTATCGACCGCTGTAAAAAGTATTGAACGAAAGAAAAAAATATGCCCCTGGCTGCAACACGCCCGTCGTTGTGAAAGCATTAACACTCGCCTCGATCTGCTTTGGAAACTAAAGACCAATACAGTTTAGAAAAGTATTCTCGATTTTAATTCGTATTTCTTGGCACGTTTAAGACGAGATGTGTCCGGTATATGGATTTTCTCCACTCCCCCCCCCCCCCCCTTCCGACCAGTAGATTGTAAAAGTCAGTGTGGTAGGTTAAACTACCTTCTACTTTTTTTTTCTCTTATTTTTATTCTTCGGATAATTTATGTTTATTATAGTATACGACGGATTACAAATTTAAATAAATCAACGAAAACTTGTATGTATTTACAAACAATAGTTATTAATATTATTATACAAGCAAAAGCTCATTAAATATGTGCACTTCATAGTACTGAGAACAAAAAAAAAAAAAATTATGATACCGCAGGTTAGATCACAGTGATGTAAATATTAAATAATACCTGGACGATTATACGATTCCAATTAATCTAATTTCCTTCTTACGACATATCTCGAACAAGCTACTGCACTTCGCGCGGGTGCTTTTATAATATCTTGCATTATAACGTTTGTTTAGTTTGTATACATTTCTCTGTCCATGCAAAAACATTTTAACGTGGTATTTTTTACTGTTTTGCAGCATGGATTGGCTCCCGGCACATCGTAACGTTCATGTTGTTCCTCGGCATGGCCAACGCTTATATAATGAGGACCAACATGTCCGTGGCCATAGTGGCCATGGTGAACCAAACAGCTCTGGAAAGGGATCCGACCATTCCAGACGACGAATGCGACGGCTACTACACGTTGTCCACGAACACAACAACGCACGTGAGTATCTTTATAAAATTACAATAGTTTCTTAGTTTTCCGAATTTCAGAAAAAATAGTTGGTTATCGAGGAATAGGTCAGAGAAACCAAATTTAAGCATTTTCAAATAATTTATTAACAATAATTTCATTCAAATAGAAACTGTCGATTTTATTTATTTATTTATTAATTACTTCTCTTTCATTTAATTATCATCATTTTACTTATTATTTTATTATTAATTTTTTTTATAAAATATTATAGAACTATGTAGAAGAATGTAGAACTATGTAAAACTATCATAGTATATGTATTGTATATTTATTAGATACAATACGGTGAAATTAGTAAATTTGACAACGTTGCATAAAATTTCATACGCAATCGTGTTTATTTATTTTTCTTATCAACCTTTTTGATACCCATCTACAAACGTACGCAGTCGTGTGGCCAAAAAGGACAAACGTACGGAATCGTGTTCTACCCGTTGTGTCGTCTTGAGAACGTCGTGTTCGACGTATGCAATGTGGTGTGCGTTCTTATCATTTATTTTTTATTCCTTACAATTCCTAACTATCTAGTGATAAATCATCATCTGTTTGTATGCATATCAAAGGACATTTTTTTTTTCAAATAACATTTGTCGGACGTGCATTGTAGCTAATTAAAATTATCAATTTTTTTTTCTTTCGATTTTCTCAATAGTCTAGTGCTATCTACACGTAAAAAAAATCTAAAAAAAAAAAAAATTAAATGAATCTAGGAATAAATGGTATTTTTTTTTTAATATTTTTGCAAAAGGTCGTAAATTATGCTTTGTTTGACCTTCCATGTTAAATTCAGATTTTTAGAAATTCGATGATCACGATATCATCGTTTTTGAGTTTATATACTCATATTATGAAATAAAATATATATAAGACTAAAACAACAAATTATGACCACAAAAACCCTCTATTCTCAGTATTAAACCTTTGTTTTTCGTATAACGTGATTATTATTTTAATCTCAAAAATTGTTCGTGTTATAATCTTTAATTAATTACTCATTAAATTTAATTGCATATAATTATTAAAATAACGTCTTTATCCTTGTCCACGCCTCACGTATCACGGTACAAAATATATTTTCGTGAGCACGAGCCGTATTATAATAAAAGAAACATCTATTGTTTTAAGAGTATTATCAAAGTCTGTCATGAAAATGGAAATATCCAGGGTTGGTATGGTATACGCGTATAAAACATATAATATGTATGGTTTTTGAAATTCAGTCTTAAAAAATTTAAAATACTTACTTTTTCAGAAATTAAGTTTGATTTTTAGTTTTTATGCATAGTAAAATATATAAGGTAGTTATAAATTACGAGTATATATGCTGTATAAATTTTAAAAAAATATTTTTATTTACAATTGTCTTTTCTAATTCTTTCGAATAGGTACCAATTTAAATAGAAACTAATGAAATATTTCTACAGGCACAGAATATTATTATAGATTATTCATATTATAAAGTAAAATGTAAAAGTTGTCCAATTAATAATATAGAATATTTGTATGCATATAAATTAAAAGTATTATTCTTTATCCTTTGATAATTATATTCTTTATTAAATAATACATTAAAGAAAAATAAAAGAAATACTAATGTACGATAATTTAAACTAAAATATTAACATTATTAATTGAATACTTTAATTTTTCGAGTATAATCTAATAATAAAAAAGTATTTTTGATTATCAGGGGTTTAATTTTTATGTGGTATAATATGTGTTTTATCCTATACTGTATTATAAACGTGTTTCAGTCTTAGAAATATCAAATTATAAAACCATTTATTCCGTATAAATGTATAATGAATTGTTAATGTTTTTAATGTTTTCGTACGTTTTATTTTACACAATTATTTTAAATAAACCAAAAAAATCTAATGGAAATATAAATACTTGTGTATAGGCATATACCATGTACTTTTGATCATTCGTGATATTCAATTCGTTTCCCTCACGGTTTCTAATGCTTTTGCATCCGTACGTGTGAAACAGCTGATAGTGAGCCGTGCGTAAAACGCTTGTATTGACAATACACATAGTTGTTTTATAAGAAAAAAAAAAAAACCAAATATTTATTAATAAATTATAATAATAGTATAAATTCTTATTTTAAATTTCAAATGTATATATACGTATAATGTATCTCAAATTCGATGTACTTTTCGTACCGAATACTTCTAAGCGTTTAAAACATTAACTGATTGGTATTATCGTTGTCATATGCGGAATCATAATGTAATCAGTACGTTTCGCACCGTTTCAGAGCATATCCAACGAAGGATCGTTCTTGTGGAGCACGTCTCAGCAAGGCTACGTGCTCAGTTCGTTCTTCTACGGCTACGTCATCACGCAGATACCATTCGGGATACTATCGAAGAAGTACGGCGCCAAGTATTTCCTCGGCGTCGGCATGCTCATCAACTCCGTGTTCGGGTTCCTGGTGCCGTTGTCGGCCAACTTCGGCATTTTCTCCCTGATCACCATACGTTTCATCCAGGGGCTCGGAGAAGTGAGTGCTGCGCGTTATTATTAACGATCCATCACGATAAACGATTCCGGCGGACCGCGATTCGGAAACACGTAATCCGCCCGACGAAGTCCCGACCGTGTTCGAAGTTTTTATTTTAATGTTCGTTTTTCTTCCCGCCCGCACCTAAGACGGAACTCGGTGAGGTCGGAGTTGAGAGGTTTCGGAAACGTAAATGCGAACGCATCCCCTCGAGCGGGAACAGAGCAGTGGTGCCAGAGCGTAACCATCGGCCGGATGAAATATTTAACGCTCCTCGAAAAATATACGTTCTTTTACCAGACGGGAGGTGCAGAAGCTATAAATTATGGAATAACATTTAATCCAGAAGAAATGTACATTTTACATGCACGCCGTGTACATGTACTCGTATGTCGGCCGCCGCGCTTCATATGTTTGTTTTTTTATTCCGCCTGTATAATTGATGTAGGGAGGATTTAGCTAGTTGGCGCACGCCCGCAGTTCCGAACGGCTCCCGTGGGTGTTCCAAATATTGAAATGTAATAAATTTAACGAATTTTTTTTTCGTGCCTAACCTTGCCGGATGATTGAAATCATGCAACATATCTAAATATTTATTTTACCCCACCTGTCCGTGCACGGTGGCGTTTAGATTTATATCCCCATGGCTCCCGATCGAATAACAAACACTATTCAAAACTATATTCCCTCTCGTTCCGACTGTTGTAATTTTTTTTTTTTTTGTTATTACGGCCATTGTCCCAGTAATTTTTTCTACGTCCAGAACTATGCGAAATCAAATGGAAGCAGCGCTTCATTCCCTAATTCGAGTCATCCGACGTCCGAGTCAGACAATAATTTATTATTAAACGACGTACACGTGTGTGCATGTAATAAAATGGTCTAGCGTCCATTCTGTACGAGATATGTGACCCAGTTTTTTTTTTCTTTCGATTTTGACGTTTCGAAATTTGGGGTTAATAAACGTTTCTTAAATTTCTAGCAGACATTCTAGTCTGGTGTGGCGAGGCGCACATGGTGTTGATTTCGTCCGATGTAGTGGTGGAAACTTGGTAGTGGGTTAGGAAAACGGAAGATTGGCTGTCACATTAGTGCACGTCCACTATATTTATACACTTTAATTTTCCAGACCGTCTAATACACTCTAATGGCTGTTTGTTTTGTTCGTATTTTTTCCAGGGCCCCATAGTTCCTTGTACACACGCCTTGCTCGCCAAATGGATCCCTCCGAACGAGAGAAGCCGAATGGGAGCGTTCGTTTATGCAGGTTTGTCATTTATTTTTAATTCCCTCCCCCCCTCCCACAACTATATTTTATTCTAATATTTATTAGTGTACACATGACCCGATGAACGCGGACTTTTAGCAAAAGCATTCAATATTTTGTATGTACATTATTATTTCAACGTGAAACGCAGTATATAAAAAAGGTTTACGTAAACGAATTACTTTTTTATTAAGCATGTTCCTTTGAACTTGAAAGCTTTCGTAAAAATCCTGAGTAGGAAATATATCGTTTTTTGGATAAAAAATAAGTAAAAAAAATAGAACTTAAATGATATAATAAAACGATAGTGAAATGTTTAAAACGTGAGAGACAACAATAGGTACTTGTAGAAGGTCTCGTTACAAACGTTGGTACAAGTACGGTTATTGCCGGTTTTTTCTGCTCTCTTATTTTTAACTTCAATACATTATACGCAAAATAATCTCTAAAAGAGTTATACAGTCGTTGCCAGATAAATTGAGATGGCGGCGGCGGCGCTTTTCATTAAGTGTAGCCCAAACTAGTCGCTGGTAGTGTGGTGCAAAGGTCTCACAGTTAGCTACGACGCCCGCAGTCACCAGTTCGAACCCGGCTCAGTGCAAAAAATTTTCTGCAGAATTTTCTGTACTCTCTCCTGTTCTGGTTGCCCTACACTGCTAAAAACAACTAACCTAACCCGGTGTGTTTTAACCGCGCAAGCACTTTAGTTGTATCAACAATATTTGTTTATTATAAATGTATAAAAATAAATGACTCTGCTGACCAATGAAAATATTAATTATTAACAGATATGGACATTATGGAATATATTAATAGAGATGGATATTTACTCATTCGTGTCAGTATTGTGTTCGTGTTCATTTGTACTAAAAACATACGCTATAAAATAAATATTATTTTTTATAATGAGTTCAAAAATTAAAAATCGTAAAGCTAACAGTCAAGCTAGGGAAATAATTTGGAATGTTTTTAATTATTTTAAAGATAAAAATGAATACATGGCTAACTGTAGGTTGTATACGATGACTGCAGAAGCTACTGGTTATTCTACGATGTCAGTTAAGCGTATTGTGTATGAAGGTAAGAAAAACATGGATTTAACTGGAAATTCTACATTAGCTACATTTATCACTCCTGATAAAAAAAGGAATAATGTGACAAAAATAAAAGCTTTAATTGACGATTTCGATAGATGTGCTTTAAAGCGAACCATCACAGATATGTATACGGTTGATAAAATTGTACCTACTGTTAAACTTATTTTTGAAAAACAAAAACAATTTATGAATTTGGGGAGTACTAGAACATTAAACAGAATAATTTCGGAAATGGGCTTCAAATTTCATAAAACTGAAACTAATAGAAAATTGTTGATAGAAAAACATAATATACGTTTGAAAAGAATAGAGTACTTAAAAAAAATACTTGAGTTTCGTAGACAAGGTAGAAAAATAGTGTATACTGACGAAATTTATGTATTATCATCACATGTTGTTAATAAATCATGGAGTTCCGTCGATGATGACAATCAGTGAAATAAAGTTTAAGTAAAGGAAAGCGTTTAATAATTGTTCATGCTGCAGGAGAAGAAGGTTTTGTTCCTAATGATTTACTAACATGGGAAGCTCAAAGCTCTAGTGGTGATTACCACGATAATATGAATAAAGATAATTATTATAAATGGGTCACAGAAAAATTACTACAAAATTTAAGTAAAAATTCTGTTATGATATTGGATAATGCGACTTATCATTGTCATCAATCTAACCGTGCTCCAAACTCAAATAGCTTAAAAAAAAGACATGGTAAATTGGTTGACTGAAAATAATATAAGTTTTAATTCAACTATGTTTAAACCACAACTTTACGATATAATACGTAAACACAAACAAGGGTTTGTTAAATATTCTTTAGATGGTATATTAAGTAAAGAAGGCCATGATATTATTAGACTACAACCGTATCATCCGGATTTAAATCCCATTAAAATGATTTGGTCACAAGTAAAACAGTACATTGCAAAACAAAGTCATAATGGTAGCATCAAAAAAATCGCAGAACTGTGTAAACAAAAAATGGAATCTATGGGTGATTCTGAGTGGGGAGCAGTTTGTGCAAACGTGAAAAAATTAAAAGAAGAAATGTGGAAAAATGAAAGTTTTATGGACATCGAAATGGATAAATGAATAGTGACGTACGGAGAAGATACAACTGACGACAGTGATACAAGTACTGAAGATGAAGACGATGATTTAGATGTAGCACCACTACAGCCATAACAAACTATTGTTATGTATATTAAAATGATTATTTATAATATTATAATGCATATAGATGTTGTTATTATTTCATCATATTATTATTAATATTATGTATTATTATTATTATTATATTAATTATATTATTTTACAATTTCTACTTTTTGTTCTTAAATAAAAGATTATTATTGGAATATTTGATTTTAAATTAATATCGTAAAATATTTTTTTGTATCAATAGTTGGTTAATTGATGTATTTTCGGTAATAATATTGAAATACAGAGAACCACTGGTTTTCCGTTATCGCGTCGCCGCCGCCGCCTCAATTTATCTGGCAACGACTGTACTTATTAGAGTGACACGTTGAATTATCCTGCTGAGTCAACTTGGTTAGTTGAACCTACAAAATTGTAAATCGTGACTATTTAATCCCACATGTCCGTATACTCAAGCCTAGTCAACGGCCGGTTCTTCATATATTTATACAATAACAGTGCAGCTCTTTAAATCGCGTCTCTTATGTATTTGTATTTAATTTTTTTGTTTCTTCATCGCATACATATGTCCTCGTATAAAGAACAGTTATTACTCCTGGTTTAATTAATATATTATTACGTTCTTCTCCGGCGATGTTAGTATATGTATGTATGTTACAGTTCAAATTTAATCAGTTAATGAAATAATTAGATAATTTATAAAATAATTAAAACGTATAGATAATGTATATAGTTTATACTTTAACTAGTTATTTTATACATTCCCGGCATCACTTCGTTAATGTGTCAAATGTATATATTCATGCACGTACAATATCGTTATTTTACTACCCATCATAGCAATAAATTAGAAAATATTGCCGTCCTTTTTCAGTCAGTGACTGCACAAACTTACATGAAACGTTTATCGTGTAGATAAAATTATTGTTTTACGTGTATTATTGTTAATAAAATTGGTAAGGTGTAAAGTTTAGTAATAGTCTTACAGTCACACGCGTTTAGCGTTGGTTTGTCTGTCTCTACAATAGCCTCGCATATACAAATAAATAATTAATTAAATTTAAAATTAATGAAATGTTATAATATATTTTAAACTTTAATGTATTTATACATATATCAAACCAAAATTGTATAGAATAACTATATATCCCATGAAATAACTAGTTAAAGCATAATTGTCACGTACGATTTGGTACTTTAACTAATATTCGTAGGTAATTCATGAACCACCTAGTTATTTCGTAAAATAAAGGAATTCAATACTGTAACATATACATATGCATATATGATCATTGGTATTTGTTTTTTGTTTTTTTTTCTCGCAGGTGCGCAATTCGGAACGGTCATTTCCATGCCGCTGAGCGGCGTGCTCTCGGAGTACGGGTTCGCCGGCGGTTGGCCGTCCATATTCTACGTGTTCGGCGCCATCGGCACCCTGTGGTCCGTCGCATTCCTGTGGCTGGTGCACGAGGACCCTGAATCCCATCCAACCATACCGCACGACGAGAGGAAGTACATCATCAGTTCCGTCTGGGGAGCTGCCGGTGTATCGGTGAGTGAATTTTGCGTGCACACGCAGATCATTTTCTGACGGCCAGTACGAACCAAAATGGGTGATAGGAATAATCAATAGGGCAGTAGACTTTATGAATATGGGCACCTTACAAAAATATACTTTTCCTTATAGAATGATCGGATTTCTATTGAGTATTTGAAATTCGTGTGATTTATCAACCCAACCTAGTACCTAATAAGTAATAATTATATGGGTTTACAATCTTCGCTACTTCGTTGATTGATTAATCTATGCAATTTAAATTCAAATAGTGGTAAAAGATCCGTATTTTTTTAAATATTTTACCGCGCGATGGTCAAAATTCTAAAACATCAATATATAATTAATTTGTGGAAGGTTAAGTACTATAATCCAATTAAATTTCTTAAAACAAAATTTTCAGTGTGTTTGGGCAGTAGGTAAAAATCCTTAGAATAAGCCTTGATGCACACCACTGTCCATGCGCGAACAACATAACACACGATATCGAGACCGATACGCGAATAATGGGCTCTCCGACGACGAACGAACGCGGTCGTAACCACTATCCTTTTTCCTGACCGCCATAAGCGCAATTAGAGTAAACAATTTAGGGAGGGGGATTCAGCCCCTCCCATATATTTTTCAATCACTGTCTCTCAGAAACTTTTTTCCACCCTTCATCTTCATCTTCTATAAAAAATAAAAAAAAAGGCAAGTAAAACTCAGAAATAAAAAAAATGTCATTTTTTCAGTAGTACCTAATCACATATATTTTTTTTTATTTATCAATATAATAATTTAAAGTTCTGCATGGTTTTTGGGGGCGGGTTGAATGTTTTTGAGGGGGCTTAGCCCCTCCGGCCACCCTAACTTCGTCTATGTTACCGCACACCTGTACGCCGTCTCCCGCCGAGTTACTTAACTAGTATTGTTTTGTCCGAATACAGCATTAATGTTGGATACGTTTTGCATTAAAACAAAAACAAATCAACCGAAACAAGATTTTTTTGTTTTAAAATTTTTAAACGCGCAAAAATATCGTAAAAAAAAAACGAATATATAGTATTTCCATAACCCTGATGTACATTGTATTTGACATCTAATATATAACCCTTTAACTCTTCTACGTTCACGTATAATAAGCCCATGGCACACTTGTTTAATATCGCACGCGCTATCCAAATCCGAATGAAATGTTGGGAGCATTTAACTTGAAATTGTCCTGAAAAATGTAATTTAATACAAACATTTCTCGAGTTTTTAATAATTATTCTACAACACTTTACTCGTTCGGATACATTTCACTAATTATTCAGCGAATCGTGTGTAAACGTTTTTCGGTCAACTAATACAAATGTTTAAATACACGTAACGGCTTGACCAAAAATAAACAAATAAATAAAAAAACCCTCAAACGAACTGCTACAGAAAACGTTATAAAGGCTCCGTTATTGTTGGAAGTTTATTTACGACGTGTTAAAATACATTCACAATGTTTTTTATCACCCTGGTACCGGCTATCGTTTTAATGGACGGTTATTTCCAAGTATCCTCGTGAAAAATGAAGAAGATCCCGATAAACTGAAAACGGAATGATGTACGCGCGTAAATATACGTACGCGCCGGTTAAGCCTATGCATAAATATTTTCGTCGGGCGGTGAGAATAAGAAAATATAAATTCTCGGACGATATCAATGTGGTGGTGTGGATTTTCGTTCGTTTAGACGCTTCCGTCGGAGCTACGGAGAAGTTGCTATAGTTTGTAGGTATTGTAAAACGTCTGACGAAGATTTGCAAATTTTTTCGATATCTTCTGCGTAAGTATATGCATATGGTTTGTTTTTCGATCATTACTGTTTGACTGTAAAGCCCAAGTTAGATTATTATTTCTAAATAAATACAATAGTGTTTAAAACGTATTTTTTATTTTTGAGTATTTGAAAATTGATTTCAAACGGTGGTATATTTTCTGGAAATGTTGTATGTGTTACTAACTTCTTATAGTTTTCACCAACTTCATGCTTTTATAATAAAATAAAATAAAACAATCCAAATTATATTAAATAATGGATAGTTTTTTTTTTCTGTAAAGACAAATGTATTAAAATCTTCAAGACTAAAAACTAAGTAATAAGTAATTTTTCAAGTTTTTTTTACCAAAATATTTATACTTATTTAAACTAATAAAATGTAATATTCGTAATTTAATTACTGCACGGGTAAATATCTATTTTAGTAAATCTTCATACAATGAGTAGTAATCTCCTCGTGTGTGTCAAAATGTTGTTTACCCGCGATTGCGCTGCGTGTCCCTTTTTTTATATATTTGTCCCTCTCACGAAGTTATTCGATCATCACGAATTAATTCCTATGAACCACAAGGCATATTGCTCTTTCAGTGCACTCAATCGACCTCGTCTTCAGATTCTTTCGATGTGTATTCGCATATTATTAACCCAATTCTTCTGTTGATTTTTTGATGATAGCGGCTTTCTCCGAGAAATATGTTATAATATTTATACCTCCATGTATTAACAAGGCAGTTTATCTTACGTTTGGCATTAATTTTTTCAGTTGATTTTTACATTTTGTCTATACGCTGAATTTTTATTGCATTTTAAATACTCAAAAGAAAATGAATGTTCCCTTAAACAACATTTAAGTACGATTTTTATCGTATTGATTTTTCAAGTTTTACTTTCTTCTCGTTTTAATGGGACCATTGATTTTTATCGCTTAGTGTTTTAAGACTATTTTCTTTTTATATATTTTTTTAAATGTGAAACTGGTATTTTACTAGTCTCATGATAGCTTTTAAAATAAATTGTTGAGTGTAATTATTGTGCTCAGTCATTTTCAAGATATCTTATCACTTCGTCTCCAATGATCAAAACTTTGAATGCTTTATACATAATGAACCAATAGCAGTATTCGATTTTTTTCAGAAACTTTTGAAAAAAGTAATTTTATATATTTATATTGTAGAATTAAGACGTACATTGCACAGTAAACAATTTAAAAAATGATTATAAAAAATTATGATCTTAATTTATTGTCTGATTATAAATGATCAAAAACGCGTAATCGGCCAAGAAAAATAAGTGCATTAACCGTAGACAACCATCACCCTGTAGGTTATGCAAGTGTGGGGGATTTTGCGTTTCAACGTTGCGGTAAAAAACGATTCGTGTGAACAACAAATATCATTATTATATTTACGGATTCCAGTTGTCGTTGGTTACGTCGCAATTATTATGGAACAGTGACAAAACATCACTTAAAATGTGTGATTTTCACATAACAATTATACCGTGTCAACAAGGCATGAAGAAAAGTCTGTAGATCAATGATTTTAAAATTGTATTAGACCGAGACCTAAGTGATCTAGGCCTTATGGGCTATGTGGGCACATCTGAATGAAATCAAATTCACGTACATATTATTATCAGCTAAATTCTTACACGTGTATAAATTATAAAATACACAATATTTTTTGAACCAAACCTGAAAATTTGCATTCAGGTCTTACTATATTATTTTTTTCAGCATTTTAAAGACTAACTTCAAAGTTTTATAATCGCTGCTGCTGATCCTCGCAGATCAACTTTCGTGTGCAATTGAAGCATTACAACTATGTATACATATTTTATTTATTAGTTATATAAAAACACTAAAACTTCCAACGTGTATAATCGAGCGACACAAACAAATCTTTTGAGAGGGCTTTCTATCATCAAAAAAAACAATAATTTGAGAGCTGTTTAATAGTAATAATAATGTGCGTTTGTTTTCCGGTCAATATCGCGTTTACAGCCGCAACATCGAGATTCATTAATTTCTCGTGTTTACATTACGATAAATTTTTGTATGATTTATTTGTCACTCTCGTCCTGTGTATATGTACACATTTGTGAGTCTTAACGTCATCATTTTGATTGATAAATAATTGTATGACACTCGAAAAAGTATACCTGATGCGGTGCGCTCCGAGGGATGAATTGAAGTATACCTCGAGTTTTCTCTATCTCCGCTCCCGTTTTTAAAAGACTGAACGTTACGCACATTTTAAACAAATAATAAACACTACCGCGTACGCAATGGCAGTAGAAAATAAATTACTTTTAATATCACGTTTAAGCATGAAATTTCCTTTTCGAGTGTTTCTCTTCAGTGGCGTGGGAACTCTCACCCACCTATATAACGGTGAACTCGCACTGTGTATACATTATAAAAAGCACTATAACAGGGATGACGATGAGAAAAAACACCTCTGATCATTATTTATTTACGCCCCAGGAGATCGGTTTGTACTTAAGGTTGGCTGCATTGGCCTTGGTAACAGATCGTTTATGTTTTTTCTCTGGTTCCGATCTCTCTCTCTTCGACCGTGTGTGGTTTGTTCATTTATTGTTTTGCATCTCTCTATTGTAATTTAATTTTTCGAATTAAACTCCTACCGTGTTCCGTGAATGCAAATCTCGTGACCGTGACTGCAAACCGAGGATTCCGTACATGAATAATATATCTGTTATAGTTTTTTTTTTTTCCACCGATCCACCGCCGTTTACCGCACAGGTTCCACGGATTATTCAATTCGTGTTAAATTTATTTTTTCTCATTATTATACGCTTCTCGACGTGACGTATCTAAAGTCGTTTTTAACTCCGCCATTTTTAGAATTGCAAAATATTAATTCAAGGAATGCAGTGTAGTCACACTTAAAAACAAACATTATTGTTCGTAACACTACACCAATAATAGAATAACTAGCTTTCGGCTCCTTATTCTCTGGTAACCCTCTGATTGATGTTTCGTCAAATATATATATCTATCGTATTGATTATCTTTACACAACACAATCATATCGATTTTTTTATGTATATTTTTAAATTTTTTTTTAATACTTCCGAGAAACGCGTTTGCCTGTTAATTTGCAAAACTGACGATAACTATACTCGTATATGCATGGGCTATAACAATTCAAGACGGAAAAACATCCTTGATATCACTTACACATTATCTGTGATTATTATATTTTTCACGAAACCTCGCGAGTATATTCAGTATATGATATGCCATTTTCTATTCCACATTCGTCAACATTAAAATCATCCTTGGACATCAGTTAAATCCGTTGTAACATTCCAATTGCGTTGCTTTAAATTATAATATGTAATTTATAAACGATTCAACGTAATAGTGTTTCAATAGTTAATACTTAGTTATTATATATACTGTATATGACATCAAAGGAAAATGTTGTGCTACTTGTTTTATTAAAACTCAATACAAATAACTTTTAATAAAGTAAAACAACATTAATTGAAAAAGTTATTATAGACTTTATTAAGGAGGATTATAATCTATTTCGTCTTTAACGTATTTATTATCTGGCCACGTTTCTTTGAATCTTTATGACTAAAGTTGTATTTGCATTTATCACTTGTATTTTTTTATTTTTTTTTCTTATTATTACACTGCCTTTGTCTTAAATTGAATGGTTAAGAATTAAAATATTTCTAAAACTTTATACTTTTGACGAACAGTTCTTTATTAAAAATTAATTATGTAGGTACTGCTTAATAAATTAACTATCGAGAAACTAATCTGAAAGGAGACTAAAAGTAATAATACGTACTTTTTTTGAAAATATATTTCGATTTAATTTCCACATAATATTTGATTAGGTATATAATGAAAATCATTAATAAAAAACATGATGGTTGCATATTTTTATTAATTTTATAATAACATAATATTATTATTTATTGCACTGTACATACTACAAACTAAAAAGTGTAGATACATACACAGAAAAATTGAATTTTTACTACATATAATATACGACAGTAATATAATAAAAAACAAAATTAGTAAATGGTTAACGCTCGTAAATAAGTAAATAAATATTTTATGTTTAGAAATAAATAAATAAATGATTAGCCTGGAGTTATTATTGTGTTTAAGCATTTGTTTGTTTATTCAACTATTTATTTATTTATAAAAAATATTTATTTGTGTACAATATACCTTTGTTTTTTGAAAGTTTGATATTTTTATTTATTTTTATATTTTTTTGTTTAATTTAAAAATGAGACCCTATTCTTGCGAACAAAATATCGTCTATACATATTTGATATTTGGAGTATATATTTTTATTATATTTTTGTATCTCTTACGGAATAACGGAATATATATATATGGCGAGGGTTGGTTTTCATTATTATTTTCTTTTTCGACCGTTCGAGGCACTAGTTTAGAATATAACGTATCAGAGTTATTCCGTTGTTCTCGGTAACAGGAGAAACGCAATCTCGTTTTAACTCGTTTTTTTTTTTCCAGTCTCCCCCCGTGCCGTGGAGAAGCATATTAAAATCGGCTCCGTTCTGGGCCATATTGGTCGCTCACATGGGTCAAAATTACGGGTACGAGACGCTCATGACCGAACTCCCGACTTTCATGAAACAAGTGTTGCACTTCAATATAAAAGCTGTAAGTACACACATTTACTACTATAAACTATAGTTTCGCCTCGATGAAAGTCTAAGGCCCGGTGTTCTTGTAAGAAATCGAACGAAAATAAATATACGGCATACTCGTGCACTAGCGTGTACGAAACCTCCACCTGGGTGTGCGAGATTTAAAAAAAAAATTTTCCTCGCTCTTCGGGGTGGGCGTGATTTTTGCGATTCGTACAACGTGAGCGCCGACCAAATCAAATGATATTCATCCCTTGCCGTTTGCGTTGTTTCACAGAACGGAACGTACTCGTCACTGCCGTACCTCGCCATGTGGGTGTTCTCGATGGTGGCTAGCCACATAGCCGATATGATGATCTCCTCGGAGAGGTTTACGCACACCACCACGCGCAAAATCGTCAACACCATCGGTAAGTACCAGGCGCGTTTTATTTGTTTTTAAGTTTTTGATGCAAGACCTCTTTAACCGTTTGCGCATCGACCGGCGTTTTCGATTGTTCGCTTGGCCCCGCAAGCGTAAAAGAATCATGTTCTGCGTTCAATACCGTAGTTAGTTGGATCGCGAACGTAGGCAGCGCCGAAAATGTTGATCGATCAACGATGATCTACCAGTACAGTGTTTGTAAATGATCACAGCATTGGTTTTCGTATAAATCGTACGACGATTTCGCTGCTCGCAAACGTGTACGATAGTTTACCGTATACACGTTTTTTTAAAGTGCATTTATTTTAACGGACGTACAATGTGGAGCGACGTGTTGAACTTTTCTCCCCAGGACAAATAGTTTAAAATATTTATTCGTTCAAAACGCAGTTTCATTTTTACAAATTTTTGTGTCTACAAACATACGCGTTCATTCTTTCGTCGGCCCCGAGTTCGTACTCGTTTGTCCAGTTGGGTCGTATCAGGTGAAGGACAAAAATATTGTTTCTAGCAATAGTAGAAATAGTCTCGTGCAACGTTTCTATTTTCCGTTTAAATCGAGGAGTACGTACATGTGCAATATACTAGTGTGTATAATATCGCGAATCAACTGCTTCGAAAAGGGATATTCGGGGATATATCATCATTAAGGTGATCGTATACAAATTGTATATAAATATACACTGAAGTATAATAGCTATTATATGCATATATATCTATTATATTAAATTATTTAACCAAACGAGCTTTAGCCTCGGATTGACGTTGAATGACCTTCAACAAGGTTTCGCACTGAAAGTTTGAGGTATATGTATATGTATTATATCAATCGCATTATGGGGGTCTCTCAGAACGGTTTGTCATCAATGTCGCTACATAAATGTCGGTGAAAATTATTACTTATTATGGTAATTACGTGGTACTTAATATGAGAAAATGCAAAACGGTCGCGAAGTCGTTACACAAGACATATGTACACGAACAATACGCACGTCAAGTTCATATACATTATGACGTTTCTGCGCGGAAACATTTCCGCGTGCAATTAGTAATATTTATGATTTTTACTTGTTTATTAATCATGCACGTGATCTTGCTGCCGCGGGAAAACGTCAAATGTTGTCCTCTTGTCGCGCTTCATTTATTTATTTATACACGACATAGGAAATTTACCTCGTACTTTTCCCCACCCACCGACTAGTTTAATTATACATATAATAAGAATGTTTATGACCGAATGCGAGATTCTTAAATATTGATAAACGTAAATATTTCATAATGAATTTTTCGGCTGGTGGACGTGACGGCTCTGGGGCTGGTTCTATGCTTTAGAAGAACACACACACACTATATTATACGAGGACCAACCGGTCGGTTGCCGTGTAACGTGTTAAATATTCATATTCGACGCACGCGAAGGAATCAAATTACATTTTTTATCAGAGTATGTCTCTCGTTTTCTCATGCAAGTATAATGCTCCGTAACGACGTTTGTTGTGTACATTTTCGTCCCGCAGACACATACACGGATCGCACGTAAAAATGGACGAAAGACATTTATATTTCAAGACGTTATCACATTATTACCGTCGTCTCATATGCGAACTTGTGAATATTGTATTCCGTGCTCATCATGCCGTCCCGAGTTTTGCGGAAACAATTTGTTACGCTCCCGAGGTGTATGCAACAAAATTAACGCGTCCGACACGTTGTTGTATTATTAAAACTTTCGTTATTTTTCGTGCAATGCGACTCCGCTATCCATCGCTTTCGATCTTAGTGGCAGTGGTGGTTTTCCGAGGTGTGCGAGAGTATGGAAGGCAGTGCCTCCCGTGAGGACAAGGGGTGGTTAAGTAGTTAATATAAATAGATGATTGTAATTATAATTGGTTCAATGATTTTAATTTAGAAATCGTTTCTTGTATAAAAAAATAATGCATTGACACGATTACGAGAGCGAAACCAATGAATGTAAAAAATTCATGGCTGCGATTTATGTCGGTAATAAACGATAATTATAAATAAATCATAGGGTATTATATCGAAGATAAGATTATAAAAGTGTACACAAATACGGATTTATCTTTTTATCCGTGGCCCGTGACAGGGGCGTAAGTCAAGTAAGTCTAAATGACTTATATAACTTATAACTTATAACTTCTAGGGGGGGAGGGGGGTGACTCAAATTTTTTCTTTAGTTCAGGCTCAAAATTTACAAGTAACATTTTTGGTAGTATTTATATCAGGTGAATCGTTAATGTTTGTGGTTTTTTTTTTTTTTAATTTAATGCCGGGATCCACTTAGAATGGTCTTTTGTGTAGTTTTTTCTTAACACCTATCTGTGTTTTGAAAATTTCGCTTGTGTTTTATTTAATTTTTCACTAAATATGGACTGGATCTTCAATCAAAATAATATATATTATTTATCGTTATGGGACATATAAACGTTATAAGCAATTGAGAGTTTAACGCTATAAATAATTTAAACGTTTGAAAAATTTAGCGTTTTGCGTTATTTGAATTAGTGTAAAATTTGAAACGTTTTCAAATGTAGTAATACTATAAAATAAATCATATTTTTTTTTTCTTAATAAAATACCCATTACTTATATAAAAATTGTCTTGGTCTAAAAATTCTCGGGGAGGGTTAGCCTCCATTGCCCCCATCGATTGCCCCCATCGCCCCCCTCAAATACGCCACTGGCCCGTGACAGTCATAGACTTGCAATACAATAATGCGTTCGGCACTTGGTATAACTCTGATATGTTGATGTGTACACAAGTTCCCCCGTATAGACATTTGGTATACACAATACCGGTATAAAAATTGGCATCAACGTTTAAAACTTCGTACACAATAGTGTAGTTAAAAATCAGGTAAAATCGTGCGGAATCGTGTAACTTAAAAAGGTATCGCCGAAAACGAACGTACGCAATTGTATTTTACCCGATTAAAAATAAAATAAATAATAATACAATAATGATGGACATTCGACTTCTTAATCTAGTACCGAATGGACAATGAGTAAAACACGCAATTTTTTCGAATAATTCAACTCATTTGCTTTTGGTATCTGGTACCATTATTTCTATTATTAAAATCATTCGATTATTTAAAATAATCCAATCATTGGATTATTCCATTCGATTATTTCCATCACTAATAAACACCATAGATAATAAAGTAATAGATAGGCCGTATGGCATCATCAGAAGGGAATTTTTTGAGAAATATTTAATGTTTTGTAGAGTCAGTTCTTAATAGTTAAATTATTTATTTACCACGAACAATAAATACAAATAAAAGTACCTAATTCAAGTACAACATGAAATACATAATGTAAAATTTTATTTATTATAAATATTGATAGATTGATATTTTTATAATTAGCTGTCGTTTCTAAATGTAAAGATGTTCATGTTAAATCTCCCAGGAGTGCTTTGGATAACATAAAAAATACTTATTCTGTTACGAAGAAAATTAAAGTAGAATTATAAGTATTGCATGATTATGTAAATTAACATAACTTATCGTACGTTTATGATGTTATTGTGGTTTTTGAAATAGATCGTTTAAAAGAGGTAATGCCTGAAGTATACAAGTTACTTTCTTTTATTTTAACCATTCCATCAATTATTAGTGTTTTAGTGGAAAAAAGTTTTTCGTCTCTTAGGCACATAAAAACATTTTATGAAGACATTATTAATATACATGTTATTAAAATCTATTGAATTAATAAATAACATATCATCTTTTTTTTACCTACTTATAACTCATTTATATAGGTTTAAGTGTATCCTACTTAACGATATAAACTAAATTTATTACTAGAAAAATACTGGCCAATTCGTATTCTAAAAACCTTTTAGTATTGTATTATTATTATTTTTATTATGTATTTAAATTCGTTTTTATTATTTGTTATGATAAAGTTTAACTTATATTAACTTCTTAAATTTGAATATAATTATTAGAATGTCATAATAGTTAGTCCAGAAATAAAAAATTCTTATTTTTTATTACTTATTTCCTAATTTCTATAAATGTATTTGCTTTAATTTGTTTTTATTAATACTTTTTTACTTACTTACTTACTTTTTATACTTTAAGTACTTTTATTTTAGTTTATTTAATCTATAAATTAATATAACTAGAGAGACTAATTAGTTCAAAAAATAATTAATTATATTATTAATTATATTTATTTTTTCATTTGAAATTTTGATTTAATTGTTATGATTATAATTATTACAGCAAATTAATTTGTAAGTATTTAATATTAGTTGCAAGAAAGATCCGTTTATGTGTTTCAGTTTCCTATAAATTAAAATGTATATCATTAATCAGGCGCGGATATAAGGGAGGCTATGGGGGCTGATGAAGTAAAATCATATTGGACACAGGTACTTAAAATATTAGACGTAAGAAAGACTTCGTAAAAATCGACATGCGTAACGAAATATGGTAGTAACTCACTTTACTAGCCCCCCCCCCCCTTTTTTTTTATTTTCTAAATCTACGCTTGTCAGTAATGGGAAATCTGCTCGTTACTGTTAAAGTGTAAACTATGAATTACCTGTAGTAAAAATGTCCTTTTCTAATTTTGATTTTAAAAGAGATAAAGGTAATTTTTAAATAATGAAAAGGAGTGTTATCAGATTACAAATAAATTATGCCTATATGCCTAGAACTTAAACAATTCATATTTGTTGATGAGTCAAAAACTTAATGCCACAACCTGTTAAGTAGAAATAACCATCTACCACCACCTTTTAATTGTATATGTTGACAAAAGGTAATTTTTACTCTCTTTCCGAGGTATGTTATTTAATCGAGTACGATCTGGATTCGTTCACCGTCACTTTTCTTTTTCTTTTTTTTTTTTTTTTTTTTTTTTTTTGGGGGGGGGGGGGGTAGTGGAAGGACGATTTCGTGACCGATTGACGCAATTTACTAAATTACATCGTACCTACATTACTCCGTA